AGAACAACTTGCTGTCATGCAGCTCTGGCATATACAGGGTGGGAATGGGTGTGGGGTGGGGAAAGCTCAGCCCTAGAGTAAGCAAATCTAGTAGGATCCTTGGGTCTCTGGCTGACAGGAATTCATGGTAGAATGTTGGCAGAGTGTCCAGAACACCTTGTGACTGTAGCAGAGCCTCTATCCATGTGAAGGATTCAGGTGTGAAAGTGTTTTCTCCAGGTGTCCTATCAGGTCTACACTAGCCCAGACACATATGATGAATCCTGGTATTAGCTTTCAAAAACGACTTCTTTTCCAGCTGCTGGGTATAGACTGTTACATTAGAGGACTCCTCCTTGCAGAAAGGTCAGAAAGAGAGACTGAGGCAAATTAGTACAAGACATTGTACCCTTTATCAATGGATAGGGTATACTGTATTGCATGCCCCAAAGAGAAGAGACCTAATAAAATTCTACATCTTAAGTGTTTCACATTCTTTAATTTTAGAATTAAAATACTGTAGTTTATGTGTTAGAATATTTTTCCTGCCTTGTATTTGTGTATGATGTGCATTCTTGATATACAGAGGCCAGAAGACAGCAGGAGATTACCTGGACAGGAGTACTTGTTAGATCTTGGGGCTGTTTGTCCACTTGGCCATGCTGGTGATAGTTTAGGAATTCTTCCCCAGGACAGATGCACAGAAAAACTTGTTAGCAACATATTGATTTGTCCTTCTAAGCAAACATTCATTGGCTTAGACTATATTTACAAAGGAATATGACAGTTATCATTATATAATTCCTGATGTATATTTTTACTGCCCATTATCAGTATCTATCCTGCATACCTCCCTCCTTGCCTGGCATCCATTTTCTCCCTGTTCTTCCCAGTCTTGAGCAGTGCTTATGCATGAAATATGTAGTTATGGGTTTGGTCTTCCATTACCAACCTAAAGTTTCCAAGGCTCATTCTTATTGTTTCAAGATGTCATGTGGTCCATGGGCACGGACCACAATTATGCTACACAATGCCACCTGCAGGGTGTTGAGTTCTTCTCAGAGAATTTAAGTCTGGTCAATTCACAATTCTTGACTCTGCCACAGAAAGGAATTCTAGGAGGAGCCAGTATGAAGTAGAATTTGATTTATGAAGAAGCAAACACACATATATTTAAACACAACAATATACAAGGGGAGGCCCAGCAGGAAAAGTGAGGATGAGACACACCTGAGCATGCTGGTGTCTCAAGGGATAAAATGGCTTCTGTCTCAGCAGTAGCTTCACATGTGGTTTTGTTGACTCTCAATAATTACCTCTTTAGCATAGAAAGATGCCTTGCTGGGAATCAGGAACATTATGAAAGACTTCACAGATACAGGAGAGCTCTCCCTGTCTACAAGATCACTCATCTAGTTCCACCTGAGAATGTCAAGGTTTCGATTTGCTGAGCCTGAAAGGCCACTCACTTTCAAGCTATCAGTTGTATACAGTTTAATACAGATTTCCACTCTACATGTCATCTTTGGAATTCAAGGATGGCAAGCTTTTCACCAATCTCCTCTTCCCTGTAGCTTTGCTGGTGTACTATTTGGGCTTCTGTAGGGTGCTCATGTTCTTCTGCTTGACTTGTTCAGAGGAGATGCTGCCACAACACTTGTCCTCTAAATCCTGAGCAATCAGAGAGTGACAGCAGCAGAAGGATATTTAGCTTGTGGCATTTTTGTTCATATTGCTTGAGGAAAGGATTAGCAACCTTTTGTGCAGTATCTGTTTCCTTTATAACCATCTGTTCTCCATCAGCAGAAGGGGATTTCTACCTTTTGTCCCTTTGTCTCTCTATTTACTCTGCTTTAATGACCAACCCATCTAACCATCTCCAGTCTTAACTTGGGTTTTGGGGCTACTTTTTATTTGGTCCCATATCACTAAAGCAGCTAGCCCATAGATGTCTTCCTCTTTGTCCTTGTGTCCTCTGACATCCTGTCTCTTTTCTGCTCTGCTTCTCCTTCTTTCTCACCACTGCTCCATACAAAGTCTTTTTTGCCATCCTCCTCTTCTTCTGTTAACTAGAGGCTACTTCTATCTCTTCTCAGCTGGAATGCTTTGTATTTTTTCTCAGAGTGGGCTTTGGTTTCTGGATGAAGTCTGTTACAAAATGGGCCTGCTTTTTAAAACAGTGCTCATTTTTAAGGGCACAGATCTCACAGCAATGCTATTCACAAACTATTCTATCTTCCTCAAGTCTTACATATGTATCCCTCCATGTACACTCCTTGGTTGGTGGTCTAGTCCCTGTGAGCACCATATAGTCTAGCCAGATAACATTGTTCTTTCTATGGGGTGGCAATTCCCCTCCTGTCCTCCCGTCCTTCTGCCAGTTCACCTACAAGGATCTCAAGCTCTTTCTGATGGTTGGTTGCGAGCATTCTGCATATGCATTGGTCAGGTGATGTCAGAACCTCCCAAGGAACAGCTATACCAAGTTTCTGTCAGCAAAGGCCTCTTGGCAACAGCAACAGTATCTGGGTTTTGTGTCTGCAGAGACATGGATCCCCAGGATGGGCCTTCCTTCAGTCTCTGCTTCACTTTTTTTGTCCCTGTCTTTCTCTCGGACAGGAACATTTCTGAGTTAAAAACTTTGAGATGGTTGGGTGACCCCCTCCCTTGACTGAAGGCCATGTCTATCTAGTGGAGATGTTCTCTACAGGTTCTACTGCCCCTTCGCTGCACATTTTGGCCAAAGTCATCCTTGTTGGGTCCTGGGAGCCTTGAGCTTCCCTGGCATCTAGGATCCTCAGTGGCTACCCCCAGTTCTTTATTCTCTGCTAAAATTTTTATTTAATTGCTTGACCCCCCCGTAACTTTCTCCTATCCCCTCCAATACCTGATCCTGCCCTTCTCTTTTTTCCTTCCCCTCCTCTTTCCCTCCCAGATTTACCCTCCCTCCACCTCCCATAACCATCCTGTTCCTTCCTTTATGCATGGTTGAAGCATCCACACTCTGGTCTTTGTTCTTTCTAAGTTCCTATGGTCGGTGGGTTGTATTGTGGGCAATCTGAGCTTTTGTGTTAATATCCACTTATGTGTGAGTACATACCATATGTGTTCTTTTAGTGTCTGGATTGCCTCACTTGGGATATTTTCTAGTTCCATCCATTTTCCTGTGAATTTCATGAAGTCATTGTTTTTAATAGTCAAGTAGTACTCTGTTTTGTAAATGTACCACATTTTCTGTATCCATTCTTCTGTTGAGGATCATCTGGGTTGATTCCAGCTCTGGCTATTATAAATAAGGCTGTTATAAACAGAATGGAGCATGTTTCCTTGTTATATATTGGAACATCTTTTGGATATATGCCCAATAATCCTATAGCTGGGTCTTCTGGTAGAACTATTTCTGATTCTCTTAGGAATCACCAGATTGACTTCCAAAGTGGTTTTACCAGCTTACAATCCACCAGCAATGGAGAAGTGTTCTTCTTTCTCTACATCGTCACCATCATCTGCTGTCACCTGAGTTTTTCATCTTAGCCATTCTGACTTATGTGAGGTGGAATCTCAGTGTCATTTTGATTTGCATTTCACAGTCATTTGAGAATCCTCAGTTGAGAATTCTCTGTTTAGCTCTGTATCTCATTTTTAATAGGGGTATTTGGTTCTCTGGAGTCTAACTTCTTGAGATTTTTGTATAGTTTGGATATTAGCTCTTTATTGGATGTAGCTTAGGTAAAGATCTTTTCCCAATCTGGTTGTGGATCTATTGATCATGTCTTTTACCTTACAGAAGCTTTTCAGTTTCATGAGGTCCCACTTGTAGATTGTTAATGTTAGAGCATGAGCCATTGGTGTTCTGTTCAGGAAAATTATCCATGTGCCAATGTATTTGAAGCTCTTTCCCATTTTCTCTTCTATTAGATTCATTGTATCTGGTTTTATGTGAAAGTCCTTGATCCACTTGGAATTGAGATTTGTACAAAGAGATATGTTAGTGCAACTACCAATTTTCTGCCTGTGTCTGTAGGTTTACACTTCTTTCAATTATATAAGATATGTTCTCTCTACTTTCTGGATAATGGCCATTGATACAGACAGATTTATTTTCTTTAATAAAGTCTCACCATATTTCATATTGTGTTGGTCACTCAGTTGGGGCCATCTGGACAGAGTTTTATGTATCTCCTTGTGATTTAATTGAGATATTCTGGTTCTGATAGTCCAGATGTAGATTTCAAATATAGAAGTATTACACTTGGGAAGGTTTTAATTACAGTGTATAATAAACATTAAAATTTGATAGTGGCTATTCATAGTAAAGATGATATTTCCATGTTTAAAATCTCATTTTTCATATTACTGTTAAATTATTTCTAATAAAATTGTAATGGAGAATATACAATTCATAAGACTAAAGATTGTATTATGTTTTATAATGATAGGTCAAAATATTTTAATTCTATGTAAATAAAAACTATACTTTAAGCTTGAGACATTAATCCCTGATATTCAAAAATAAAAAGCTATAAGTGGTGCTTAATAATTATAAATTAGTGAATTATTTAAAATGAGTATTTTAAGTAAATGTTTGTATATTCCTTTCTATTGTATGAATGTTTGCATATCCCTTTCTACTCTTATTTATGTTCCAAATATGTCTTATATTACCTTAGCACCACAGTTTTGGCATTATTGAACTTAATGAAGTGGAACGTATGTTTCTATAAGACTTGAGCAGAAGGTGTATGAACCATCAACAGAATGCAAAATCACAAAGACTGGAAATACTCTTTGTTTCTATAATTTCTTTTTGTGAAGTTTAACCTTGTTATCATAAATATAAGACTCAAATATTCTTCTGTGCTTTCCTAATTTCTGTCTTTCCAGACTTAGGATCAAGGCCAGCACCTTGCACAGGATATGCAATGCCTAACACAGAACCCTGAGTTACACATTTATGATTTAAAATTTTCCATGCAATTTCTTTATCACACTGGCAAGAAGTTTAGGATACTGTTCCTTACCATGTTCATTTTAAAAGACAGCTCCTTAGTGAAGTTTTTGTGAAAGTGTTGATGCCACATTTCTTGGAAATATAAGGCATTGACAAGAATCAGTCTGGTCTGTGAATTAACTGAGTCACTTGACAACAGTTCTGAAATCTTGCCTTTAAAGAAAGAAGAGACTTCATTCAGGTTCTTTTTATAGACATGTGAGTTATCCACTGATATGACATCTGATCAGATCAAAGCACCACCTTTTCCAGCTTGCTTAATTTGTTAAAAATATTAAAAAATAAATTAAGACAAAATGCTAACATCCATGTTTGACTTGAAGTTATATACATTGGAGGAACATCATTTGTTAGTCCTCCAAGGAAAGGTGGTTTGTAAAGAGCAGAAAAAAGACTCCAAGATGAAGAACAAATCAAGTAAAAAATGATGAAAGTGGTAGGAGTGATGCATTGTCACTGCCTGGGATGGCTAATATTAGTTGCAATCTTGATTAGGTATGAAATCTGCTAAGAGGCATGCCTATGGGTCTATGAGCACATTTCCCAGAAAAAGTAGCTAATGGAGAGGAAAATCTCCAGGGTGTATCATCCTTCTTGTGCTGCCAGATATAAAGGTATGAGAGAGAAACCACTCTGCTTTGTCTACTTGCCTATAGTCCTTGCTGGTGATGGTATCTGGTATTTTTCACATCACCACACACGCCATTTTAAGCTGACATTGGAATTCAGTAGTTTGGCCATTATCTCATGTCAGGAATGCATAAGATTTCAATAAGTTATTGTCAAAAAATTGATGAATGGAAGACAAGATTATTTTTCTTTACTCTCTGTCTTTTAAAAGAAATAGGAATGTGCCAGGTAACACAGAGGCATCTAAAAGGTTCAAATAATAATGATCTCAAGGATCTCAAAAAAAAGTGATTGAACCTGTCATCAAAAAATATAAGGTTCAACCCCAAATGGGAGATTCTTTTAGATTAATGTAACTGGGCATTCCTGGCAGACTGTTGTCAATGGAAATCAAGTCTCTTGTCATCAAATATAGTTAAGGAAATTGATACAGGAACTGTGCAAGTAGAAACAGGAGTCCTCTTCTGATGTAAAGGTGGTGAGAGCTAAGACAATGCATACTCTAATAAGAAGCAGTCTCAGTGTAGTATTATGGAGAAGACCTAACCATGAATTTCCATCTGAAGGATGATGGAGTCACATGACCTGTGAAAACTACATCCCACCTATGTCTTCAAAGATAAAGTGTTAGTATGGGAATTGGACCTCTGAGTTCTAACGATGTTAACATCAGTGTCTTTGTTCTAATGAAACACTCAAAAAATCTGTTTTTTAAAATCTAATTGAGTAGAGCCTCTACAAATTCCTTGGACTCTAAATTATACGATGTTGCCTATTTCTGAATCCCATTGACTCAGAAATAGCAGTGAGATCAGACAATAATGGTCATATGAAGTATCATGAAATTCTGAACTTCAATCTATTTGGAGACCCACATGTTTATGTGTTTCACTGACTCCACTGCAGCTTTGGCAAAGGAAAGCTGCTCCATCTCTGATTGGTAGAACTGAATACAGGACTCCTTAAAAGTCTTTAGAGAGAAAATATTCAGGGAGGTAACACTGAAAAATAAAATGTCAGTAAGCTTTCTAACATCCTGATTAATATGGCAATAATAAAATAAAATTAAGTATAGATATCATTTTAAACAAGAAACATCTTCAGATACCAGGCTTTTGCAAGAGGGAATTATCAGACATTAAATAAATAAAAGTTCAAGTTACCAAATTTGAAATATTTCAAGATATCATTATAAAATTGTTGTTTTTGATGAAGATTAGGTTTGGTGAGTCTTCCTATGTAGCCTAGACTGGCACAAAACTCATGATCCTCCTGTCCCAGACTTCTACATACAGATTTATAGATGAGACACTATAGAGTAGCTAGTATGTCAGCCTTACTTTTCTCAGTTTCTCTAGTGTCCTTCTCCTTGGATCTATAGAAACAAGCTTTTGGATACAACTGTTATCTTACTAGTGATACAACTTACGGGGAGCAGTTCACACGAATTCTCTGTAAAGAGCCTGTTGGTCATTCTAAGACAGTAGTTACTTTTTGGCTCATTCAGATTATGAAGAAACAACTGGAAGCCCTGATGGATGTCTTCATCTGGCTTTAAATTAAGGACCTGTGAAGGAAAAGATGAGATATTTTCAGGCCAGTGATAAAGCATTTTGGATGCAAAAGGATTTTTCAAGCAGAAGAGATAGCTCAGGTAGTGATGTACATGGGGTTCTGATGAAAGACATGTTGGTATTAAAAAAAATTAAGAGCAGGAATTGGCTTTCCTTTTCAATGAAACATTACAAGTCTGTTGCTATAAAAACATGATAGATGACAGAATGCCATTTTTCATATAATTTCAACATCTCTTTCACCCATTGCATCACTTGTGACTGACCCACATTCTCAGTCATGCTAAGCTACAGCTCTGCCACTTAGTCATAATCACAACCCCCTTTCTCCATCTTTAAAACAAAACCATGCAAAATTATAAAAGACCAAAAGAACTTTTTATTTGTAACTGAGCTGCTCAGGGTAGACCAGGACTTGGCATCTTCCTTTCTCAGACTCCTTAATAGTTTGATTGAAATGTATTGGACACCAGGCCCAATATCAATTATTTATGCATCATTTTCTAAGAGAATTTAGTATGAAATTTTGAGAATCCCCCACACACATTTTATTATTTGGGAAAACTCATTGCCCTTAAAGCAATGTTACTGGAGGAGATTTGTCTTTTATTCTATTTCTTCTAGGCTCCATCAAACAGTACGTGTTCCTATGTCAGGGTTGAAGTTTAGCCACATAAACATCTCTGACACCAATCTCAGTCAGGTCTTTATTGTTTATTGAATACATATTCCAAAACTGATTAACCATGAATGCAGTCAGGAGACAGGAGCAAAACTAGAATCCTGAGTAGTTCTCATAGCCAGTTTCTATCTGAGAAAAAACACAAAAAATTGTGCTTGAAACATTTACAACTTTTAGGCTATCTACACAAAGCAGTAATGTCTGAACTTTGACATGGTTGGCTAGGTCTATGGGCAGAGAACCTAAGTATGTTTCTGAGTCCAAGAGTCCCTGTGACAACTTACCACATGAAATTATGGTCAGGGAAAGGAATATTAGGTCAGGTTACGCTCATGAGATACAAAATGAAGGTTGAAGCAATATGGCAGAACTATTGTCAGGTTTTAATATTTAACATTTAACACCTCCTAATCCTTCTTAGAAGCTTTTATGCATATGACACTGGTGTGAATATGACTGGAAACTTACCTGAGATATCTGGACAGCGGTTTGTCCCTTTGCCCCCAAGAGGACCATAGCTAGAGCAGAAGAGATGCTCACAGGAGAATAACACACATTTTCTGAAGGGTTGCTTTGACAGAGCATCTTCAAAAGATGGATGGCAAAGGTGCCATTTGCTTCAGACAGAGTATTCATGATGAAGAGTCTAGGGGAAAAGACAAATGGTACTCAACACATAGCCGAAAGTTCATTGTTCTGAAGAAAGGAAACCTGGGAACCTACTTTAGGTTGTCATTTCAAAGATAGTAAGTGCTTTTAATTGGATTTCAAAAATTCATTCTCAGTCAAGGTCCTTCCAATGATACGGTTATTTGGGAAGCATTTTTTTAAAGCAGGAACTCAAATGAGCTTCACTTTCATCTGCACAGGTAGAAAGAAAAATCATAAAGAATGCATACACAGGACAGCTGACTAGCTCTTTTGTTCTGAAGAAGGTTGAATAAAAAGTAAAGGTAAAAAGGAAGAGAAGATAAAGCAAGGGAATAAAACATTCATGAGCATATAGCCCCTCTAGACTGGCTTCAGCAAGCCTACAACCTGTTCTTTGCCAGAGAAGGAACCTCCTGAGATACCCAGGAATGCATTGAACAGTGTCCTCCACAATTGTTAGTTCTTACATCGAAGACAATGAGAGACTGAATGAAACACAAAGCCAGGCTGATATTTTCTAAACTTCTCTGCAGCAGGCAACATTTTCCTGCAGTGGCTGCACAGGGGACCTTGCATCATCTGCAGGCACACAGAGCATCCCTCACCTTCCAGAGCTATGTGAGGCCAGGCCATTCCCATCTACCACTATCCTGGGGCCTTGAGCATGATATTCCCACCCTGCAGTGAATAAAGGGCCTGTCTGAACACTGCAGGCAGCTAAGCTGCCCTCTGCATTGCTCAGTTCAGGGCAGTGGGACTCCTATTTGCCAGATTTAAAAAGTTAAGGCTGTGTCCAGGAGATGAAACCCATGGATCTGGGAGTTAGGAAAAGACACAGTGGGGATGTGGATCTGATAAGCATTCAAAGATGTGACTTTTGTAGAAACCCCAGTGGAAACTGGCAGTAGGGTTTTTCTTAGCGTCAGAGTCTAGACAATGTTTTGACCCCTCTGTCAGGATTCGGTACTGCAGGATCTCAGTGGCTTTCTCCATTATTCTCTGTCCTGCTACCTCTTAGGTCCTACCACGTAGCTCTGGACTCTGGAGGGTATGGCTTTCTGTGGGTTAGGGTATACTTCATCCCTGGAGGAAGAACAATAGTAGAATCCTTTTTTATCTAGCTTACAAGGAACTAAGGTAGAAAGTCAGCAGATGTCCAGAGCACCTTGTGGATGTAGTCGAGCCCGAGGCACTATCAATGTGAAGGATGCAGGTGTGAAGGTTTTTGTTCCAAGTGTCTTTCAGGGCTTCCCTAGCCCATACCCAAATGCAGAAGAATGATAGTGTTAAGTTTCCAATGAGACTTCCAGCTTCTGGGCATAGACTAGTACATTAGAGAGCTCCTCCTTGCAAAAGGTCAGAAAGAGACATATAGACAATTTAGTACTGGAATTGTACCCTTTATGCCTGGATAGTGTACATTGTATTTGCATGCTGCAAAGAGAAAGACCTCCTAGAATTCTGTATTTTAAATGTCTCACATATTTTGAATTTTAAAATAGAAATAATATGGTTTATGTGTAGAGTGTTCTGCCAGCCTTATATCTGCGTACTATGTGTATGCCTGGTATACTCAGAGTCCAGAAGACAACATGAGACTCTCTTGACAGGAGTATTGACAGGAGTATTTGAGATCCTGGGCCTATTTGCCGACCTGTCTATGCTGGCAATAGCTTAGGAACTCTGTACTGGGACAGAAGCACATTTATATCAGGAAACATTGTTCTCAACATATCAATTGTCAGTCAATGCATACATTTGTTGGCTGTGACTATAATTTCTAGGATATATGCCAGTCATCATCATATAATTCTTGATGTATTGTTACTGCTCATTATCAGTATCCATTGTATAACTCTTGATGTATTTTTACTGCTCATTATCAGTATCCATCGTACACAACCACCCTCCTTGCCTGGCAATCACCAATCCATTTTCTCTATGTGCTTCCCAGTCATGAACATTGTTTGTGAATGAAATATGTATTCATGTGTTTGGTCTTCTTTTACTAACCTAATGTTTCCAAGACTCACTCTTATTGTTTTAAGATGTCAGGCATGGGCATGGACAACAGTCTTGCTAAACAATGCCACCTGAAGGGGGTTGAATTATTCTTAGAGAATTTAAGTCTCTTCAAATTCATAATTTTTGACTTTGCCACTGAAAGGAATTCTAGGAGGAGCCAGTATGAATTAGAGTTGGATTTATAAAGATAAAAAACAAATACATATTTAAGCACAACAATATACAAAGGAAGGCCCTGTAGGAAATATTAGGACAAGACACACGTAAACATGGTGGTGTTTTAAGGGAGAGAATGCCTTCTGTCTCAGCAGTAGCTTCACCTGTGGTTTTGTTGACTCTCAATGATTACATCTTACAAATATTCTAAGTTCCTCATTCCCCTTTATAATTAATAGAGATTCATTTTTTAACTTTTTTTTTAGTTATTTAAGTAAAAGCATTTAAAACTACCATGAATGAAGTTATATGAGATAAAGACACATAAGCAGAACTTTAACATAGAGAGATGCCTTGTTGGGAAACAGAAACATGAAAGATTCCACAGACACAGGAAAGCTCTCCTTCTTTACAGGAAAACTCATCTAGTTCTCCTTGAGAATGTCAAGGTTTCAATTTGCAGAGTCTGGAAGGTCACTCAATTTCAAGCTATCCACTGTATATTCAGTTTAATAAAGATTTCCTCTCTACATTCCATATTTGGAACTCATGGATGGCAAGCTTTTCACCAATCTCCTCTCTCTACCTTTGCTGGTGTGTAATTTGGGCTTCTGTTGGGTGCTCATATTCTTCTGCTTGACTTGCTCAGAGGAGATGCTGCTTATAACATTTGTCCTCTAACCCTTGAGTAATCAGGAAGTGACAGTAGCAGAAGGACATTTAGCCTGTGGCTTTTTTGCTCATCCTGCTTGAGAAAAGAATTAGCAACCTTACATGCAGCATGTGCTTCCTCTGTCACCATCTGTTCTCCATCAGCAGAAGGGGATTTCTACCTTCTGTCCCTTTGTTTCTCTACTTCCTCTGCTTTAACCACCAACCAGTCTAACTATCCCCAGTCTTAACTTGGGTTTTGGGACCACTTTTTACTTTGGTTACCCATCACTAAAGCAGTTATCCCATAGACCTCTTCCTCTTTGTCCTTGTGTCTCCTGACTTTGTGCCTCCTTTCTACTCTGCTTCTCCTTCTTTCTCATCACTGCTCCATCCAAAGTAATTTTTCCATCCTCCTCTTCTTCTGTTAACTAGAGGCTACTTTCATCTCTTCTCATCTGGAATGCTCTGGAGTTTTCTCAGGGTGGGTTTTAGTTTCTGGATGAAGTCTGTTAACACCATGGGCCTGCTTTTTAAAACAGTGCTCATTCTTAGGAGCACAGATCTCACAGCAACACTATTCACAAACTACTTTATCTTCCTCAAGTCTTTATAATCATCAACCTTACTGTATTTTTTGCTTGATGGCATGTGGTCCTCATTCCTTCTGCACCTAATGTATTTTCTTTTATTTAATACTTCCATACTGTTGTTGACTAGGGCTTGCAACCCAGTGGTTTACAGCAAATGCTACCTCTCCTCTCTCCAAAGTACCAAAGCTCACTTACTTGTTCTTCATAGATAAGTAAAACTATGGAAGTGCCTTCCAAGGGAATATGAACTGGTAACTCTAAATTACAGGTTACAAGGCAGTTATGGCATTCTGTGTATTGTAAATTGGTTATCTACTATTAAAATTTACTATTAACATTCATATATAAATTCGTGTATAGACATATACTTACTGGACTTCAATTTGGTATCACTCAAGGAAATTCTCTGTAGATATCTGTTAACTCCTTTTGGTTCATAACTTCTGTTAGTTTCACTACATCTCTGTTTAGTTTCTGTTTCTATGGTTTGTCTATTGCTGAGAGTGGAATGTTGAAGTCCACTGTTATTGTATGAGGTGCAATGTCTGTTTTGAGATTCAGTAAAGTTTCTTTTATGAATGTATGTTCCCTTGCATTTGGAGATAGATGTTCAGAATTGAAAGTTCATCTTGATAAATTTTTCCCTTGACAAATGTGAAGTATCCTTCCTTATCTTTTTCATAACTTTTGGTTGAAAGGCAATATTATTTGAATTTAGATTGGCTGCCACCACTTGGTTCTTGAGACTATTTGGTTGCAAAAAAATTTTTCCAGCCTTTTACTCTGAGGTAGTATCTGTCTTTGTCACTGAGATGTGTTTCCTATATGGAGAAAATGCTGGGTCCTGTTTACATATCTAGTCCTTTAGACTCTGTCATTTTATTGGGCAGTTGAGTCCATTGATGTTACAAGATATTAAAGAAAAGTGACTGTTGCTTCCTGTTATTTTTGTTGTTACAGGTGGAATTATGTTTGTGTGGCTATCTTCTTTGGAGTTTGATTGAAAGATTACTTTCTTGCTTTTCTAGGGTGTATTTTCCCTCCTTGTGTTGAAGCTTTCCCTCTATTTTCCCTTGTAGGGCTGAATTTCTAACAAGATATTATATAAATTTGGCTTTGTCATGGAATATCTTGGCTTCTCCATCTACATTGATTGAGAGTTTTGCTGGATATAGTAGCCTTGGCTGGCATTTGAGTTCTCTTAGGGTCTGTAGGACACCTACCCAGGGCCTTCTAGCTTTCATAGTCTCTGTTGAGAAGTCAGGTATAATTCTGAAAGGTCTGCCTTTATATGTTACTTGACCTTTTTCACTTTTAATATTCTTTCTTTGTTTTGTGCATTTGGTGTTTTGATCATTATGCAATAGAAGGGCTTTTTTTGTCTGTCCAGTCTATTTAGAGTTCTGTAGACTTCTTGTATGTTCATGGGCATATCTTTTTCTATGTTAGGATAGTTTTGTTTATAATTTTGTTGAAGATATTTACTGGTCCTTAAGGTTGGGAATCTTCCCTCTCTTTTATGCCTATTATGCTTAGGTTTGGTCTTCTCTTTGTGTCTTG